GGCTGGGTGGTGGCAGCTGCCTGCCGTCTTCCCTAACCGTAGGACCACTCCCACTCCCATCCAGGTGACATCATCAGGAAAATCATCCCCAACCACGAGCTGGTCGGGGAGCTGGCGGGGCTGTATTTGGAGAGCATCAGTCCAAGCAGCCGCAGCCCTGCCAGCGTGGAGCCCCCCGTGCCCAGCACCGGCCCCGAGTGGGACCCCCAGAGTGGGGGCTGCCCGCGGGATGATGGCCACTCGGGGACCTTTGGGAGCGTCCTGGTGGGGAACCGCATCCAGATTCCTGACGACTCTCAGCCCGAGAGCCCCAGCTTGCTGGGCCCCATCCCGGGGGCGGGCAGCGGGGGCCTCAGCAGCGAGGAGGACCACGCGCTGAAGCGGGAGCTGCCACGGAGTGCCCACGGGCTGAGCGGGAACTGGCTGGCGTACTGGCAGTACGAGATTGGCGTGAGCCAGCAGGATGCCCACTTCCACTTCCATCAGATCCGCCTGCAGAGCTTCCCGGGCCACTCGGGGGCCGTCAAGTGCGTGGCGCCCCTGAGCAGTGAGGACTTCTTCCTGAGCGGCAGCAAAGACCGCACGGTGCGCCTCTGGCCTCTCTACAACTCTGGGGACGGCACCAGTGAGACGGCCCCACGCCTGGTCTATGCCCAGCACCGCAAGAGCATCTTCTTCGTGGGCCAGCTCGAGGCCCCACAGTACGTGGTGAGCTGTGACGGGGCTGTGCACGTCTGGGACCCCTTCACAGGTGAGCGGGCCCAGGTGAGGCCTGTTCTTTTGCTGCCATCCTGTGCCCTGCCAGGCCTCTGGGTATGGGGACCCAGGGTTGGGCAGTTGGGGTGTAATGGCAATACGGTGTGGGGTGACCCAGTGAGGCCGCATGGAGGAGCAGTTAGACCTGAGTTGGAATCCGTGAGCCCTGAGCTTGAATTGGTTCTGCCAGCTGGAGGCGTTCGTTTTCCCATCTGTAAAATGGGAATCAGACCGGGGTTAGAAGATGCACGTAGGAGTTTGGCTTAACACGTAGCATGTCATACAAGTTTGGCAAATGGTTGCTTGATTATTTTTTGGCATCAAGGAGAGGGGAGAAATAAGGTTAATAAGGTTTTTAAAGGAGGAGGGGCTAGAGTAGCATTGAGGTAGACCAAGAAGAGGTAACATTTGGTCAGGGGGCGTCGTGGGAAGAGAAGAGGTTGCTTTGGGGACTGGATCCTGGCCTGGCCGTGGAAGCAGGAAGGTGGGAGAGTCGAAAAACATCTTTAGCATTTTCTTAGGTCCTCTGGGATATGAGAGGCAGCTCCAGGGTGGGTCAGGGAGATAGGAAGAGTTGGGGTGCTTCCATCAGCTACTGGGACCCCAGATCCACTGTGCCTTTCCTTCCCAGGGAAGACCCTTCGCGTGATGGAGCCGTGGGACAGCCGGGTGCCCCTGACTGCTGTGGCTGTCATGCCCGCCCCGCATACCAGCATCACCATGGCCAGCTCTGACTCGACCCTGCGCTTTGTGGACTGCAGGAAGCCTGGCCTGCAGGTCAGGGGCGTCCGGTTCCCTGAGCCCTGGCCTGGACGCCTGGCAAGGAGGAGAGACCCCGTAGAGAGAAGGCCAGGGTGGAGTTTAGACGAGTCACCCACAGCAGCAAACCCTGGGGGGTGGGACTCTGATCTGAGACGAAGGGGAGCCCTCCGCTTGATGGAGGGGGAGGGCATAGAGGATCAGGCCCTTCAGCTGTGTGGGCTTGGGGGTGAACGGGAGCTCGAAGTGGGTTGGGGTCGGTGGCGGCACTTTAGCTCATGTCCCTCTCTGCAGCACGAGTTCCGCCTCGGTGGCGGGCTGAACCCTGGGCTCGTCCGCTCCCTGGCCGTCAGCCCCAGTGGCCGTAGCGTGGTGGCTGGCTTCTCCTCGGGCTTCATGGTGCTCCTGGACACCCGTACTGGCCTGGTTCTGCGTGGCTGGCCAGCCCATGAGGGGGACATCCTGCAGATCAAGGTGACTGACCAGGTCCCCTTCCCCTCCTCACTGCCCAGTCCAGGCCCTGCTCCGGGTCCTCTTAAGGCCCACCCAGGACAGGCTCCAGCTAAGATGATCTCCCTTGTACCTGCCCCAGGGCTGACGGGCAGAGAGGGTTAGGAGCCAGCTGCGCTGCAGGGGCCCAGGTGGCGGGCGGCCCATGGGGGCGGGAAGTAGGGGGAGAGCTGCTCCCTGGGGATGCTCTAATGAGTAACCCTTGTCCATATTTGCCTTGCTTGGAGGATCAGGGGTCAGGCCCTGTCCATGACCCAGTTCAGGTTAAATAAAGCTCAGCTGGGAGGCTGTTTACTGCCTCCAGACCACAGAGCAGAGTCCATGCCCCATGCTGGGCTGCCTTAGTGGGGGCAGGGACATCCCGGCCTGGGGATCCTGCCCCTACCCCCGCCCATTCTCAGTCACAGACCTCAGGGAACTGCCCAGGGAGGGACAGCAGGAGAGGAACAGGACTCTTTGTGGGAGGATATTTCCAGGCAGCGGCACTCCCTCCCTCTCCTGACTGCGCCCGGGGGGTGCACCCAGCACTGCCACTGCTAAGGGCAGACTGCCCCCAACTCTGTCCAGGACCCCAGGGGACCCAGGGGCCCAGACAGCTTTCAATTCGGACCTTCCAAGGATGCGTCAGGAAGGCTTTGGGGCAGCCTGGGTGTTAATCCTGGCAGTGCCGCTTACTGGCTGTGTGGCCTTGGTAGGATTACCTAACTTTTATGAGCCTCGGGTTCTTTCTCTGTAAAATGGGAACAACAGCAACAGTTACGTCATCGAGTTGTCATGGAAATGAAATGTGGTCATATGGCATGCCTCACACAACGCCTAGGTATATAGTAAGTGCTCAAGTTGCAGGGATGACTAGGTTAAAGACACTTTATGACAGTCCCATTAACTCATATGATGTGGTGGGAGGGGGACAGCTGGTCGCCTGCCCAGGATCCCCTATCTTCCTGGGAGATCCTGTGCGAGTAAACGGAAGACCCTGGAGCTCGGCGGGCACATGGCAGGGCCTGGGCCCTGCTGAGGCTCTCTTCTCTCCGAGCAGGCGGTGGAGGGCAGTGTCCTGGTCAGCTCCTCCTCTGACCACTCCTTGACCGTGTGGAAGGAGCTGGAACAGAAGCCCACGCACCACTACAAGTCAGCATCTGACCCCATCCACACCTTCGACCTGTATGGCAGCGAGGTGGTCACCGGCACGGTGGCCAACAAGATCGGCGTCTGCTCCCTGCTTGAGCCGCCCTCCCAGGCCACCACCAAGCTCAGCTCCGAGAACTTCCGAGGCACGCTCACCAGCCTGGCCTTGCTGCCCACCAAACGCCACCTCCTGCTGGGCTCGGACAACGGGGTCGTCCGCCTCCTGGCGTAGGCTGAGGCGGGGCTGGCCAACGAGGGTGGGCAGACATCCCCCTGGAGTCCATTCCTCACCCTTGTTTTCCCAGCAGCTCCCTCTTGGGCAAGCCTCAGGCCCCGCACCCCGAGTGCCCACGTGGCTTGCCAGCAACAGTGAGGCAGGGGTCCGGGCTCCCGAACTGCCAGAGCCACACCAGTGCTGCCAGAAGGGATCTCCTTCACGGCTTGGGAGAGATGCTGCCCCTAGTCAGCAGGAAGCAAGAGCGAGAGCGCGGGAAAGCATCGCCCTCCCTTCTTCCTAGCTCTGCCCTCTGGGTCCACCTGGGGACGGGGAAGCTCTGAGAAGAGGAAGGGAGGCTGGCCCCGTGCAGCCAGGCTCCAGCCAAGGATGCCCCGCACCTTGCCGAGCTCTCACAAGGCCAGGGCGGCTGCTCAAGTCCAGGACACCGATGGTGCCTGGACTCCAGCCCCTAATGAGGGCTGGCCGTGGTCCAGGAGTTAAGGGCCTTGGGCTGGGGTTTAAGTGTCCACCCAGCCATGCCTTGCCCAGCGTGGGACCAGTAGGGGAAGAAGGAGGGCAGGACCAGGGGAGGGAAAACGGACTGGGCCGGCTGGTTCCTGCCAGGAGTGACCCCATGCCTTGCCTGACCACCCCTCACCACAGTGTTTGTGCCTTGAACTGAGGAGGCAGCCCCTGGGCCCAGTACCCTTGTGGCCCAACACCCTGAGAGAAGGGGTGAGAATGATCTCTGCATCTCAGGTCTCTCCCAAGGGACGGGAAGACCCAGGCATCCCGGGACCCTCACATTCTGGAGCAGAGATGAGGTCTGAGCCTGCGCCCCTACTGCCTCCTCGTTATTTGCAATAGATGTAAATATGACCAATAAATCCTTCAGAAGAGCCATGGAACTGAGTGATGCTTTTCTTGACGATGGCATCAGGGTGGGGAAGAGTTGAGACGCAGCAGCTTCCAGGGCAGTGAAGAGAGGGTGGGAAGCAGGGCAGGAGGGTGGGAGACAGCCTGATCATTGCTCTTGGGTGCCACGGGCACGGGGCTTCTGATGCACGCAGCCCCAGGCCAGTTTCCTGAACCCTCAGCCTTGGGGGAAGGTAAGGAGGCATTGCTCCTGCCGGGAGGATGCTGGCTGGTGCTGTGGCCCTCTCTCCTCTCCCCACCCCTTCCAGATCCAGGCTAAAGGCAGCCAATCAGGATCCTGGGCTTAAGGCTTGGGGATGGGCATCTTATCTTGTGTTCCCCACATAGGCTCCTGCAGCTTCCCCTTCCTTCCTCTCAGGATGGGAGAGAGGAAAGGACATTGGAAGTGGGAAGCTGGATGTGACCCTGAGCCCAGTTCTGTCCTTGGGCATGTCACATAGCCTCTCTGACCCCACTAAAGTGGGGATAACCCCCCCCCCCACCTCATGGGGTTGCTGGCAGGCCCCTGTCCTTCCTGGATCTGCCCTACAGATGAGGACATTCTCCTCAACTTCCCTGAACCTCCTTTCTCCAGGCTTGGGGATGGGGGAGGACCCAAATCCACAGGGTCTCCAGGTGGCTGTCTCAGGATTAGATACCCTGGTGGGAATGGGGCTTCCGGCCCCAATATCAATGTTTAACCGGATGTGCAGGTCAATATTTACCAGAAAAGAAAGCAATCTGAACAGGGGTTGGCTGAGAGCAAAGGTCCTGGTGGGAGGGGAGGGCTCAGCTGGGCTGGCTGGAGCCTGAGCAAAGTGTGGGGAGTACCCAAGTGGGGCCAGAGGGACACTGTGTACTGCAGCGAGGATCCTGCAGAGGTACGAGGGGAGGGGTGGCTTGATCTGCTCTTTGGGCAGGAGAGGAGGTAAGAGCTGTCCATCTGGCTGAGGGGGCCTGGGGTGAATTTATCCAGAAGACCTCTCATTTCCCAGCCTCCTGGGGTGATGAGGAGCCAAGATGGGGGTTCTGGCAGGACTCTCTCTGGGACTTGGAAAACTAGAGGTCTTTTCTTGTCAGGAAGATTCAAAAGCCCGGGTTGGAGATCAGGGGCCCTGGCCAAGGGGTCCTTGCGTGTGATGGGGGTGGGGCCAGTGGTGATAGAAGGGTCCCCTGGAAGGACTGGCCCTGAGATGGGGGTGGGGTTGGAGTGTGTGGGACCTGCTCTGAGGCCAGACCAAGACCTGCCCATCCCCACCTGCCAGTCTGGCTTCCCGGAGCCGACCTGGACAGAGTGGGGGGCAAGGCCTGTGTTTCCCGTAAGTCCAAAGGTGGCTCCGTCCAGAGCCATTCACTGGGCTCTGTGGCTGGGTCAACAACGCGGCTCTCCAGCCCACCCCACCAATCCTGCTGAGACTTCAGGAACTCACAGGCCTGTCCACCCTTGTGGTCAAGACCAGACCAGCCAGAAAAGGTGGGTCCATGGACAGCGGGTTGGACAGGAGCTCTGGGAAAGGAGCCCCAGTATACAGGAGGCTTCAGGGCAGGCTTCCCAGAAGAGGAGCCTTGGGCTGGGCTGACAACAGCCGTATTACTGAGTGCCAGGCATTGTAGTCAGGGCCCACAAAGACTGCCTTATTTTGGTCCTCACAATATACCGTGGGGGGAGGAGATAGGGACTTTTGCTACCATTTTGCAAGAAAAGGCAAAGCCCAGAGGGGTTAAGGGAGATATCTAAGGTCCTCTCGGAAGAGGCCGAGTCTGGATTCGAATCCACGGCTGACTCACAAGGCCAGGCCTTGAAGAATGAGGACTTCTTTGGTTTTGATACTTCCCCTGTGAACCAAAACATTTTCAGACATGAAATGTGAGAAACTGGAAAATACAGAGGGGTTAAAGACAATTCAGGGGGACCTCACAGAGGTGGGAACCACTGCTCGTGTGTTTGGGGTGTGCTGGCGGTAGCGGGGTTTCCCCTCAGCGGGAGAGGCTCAGGATCTGCCAAGCCAGGCAGCATGGGGGTGGGCTCCCACGCGGGAGCGCGGCCAGGTGGGAACAGAGGCTTCCTGTCCCGCACAGGAACATGGTGCTGCTCCGGGGGCTCCTGGTGCTCAGCTTGTCCTGCCTGCAGGGGCCTGGCTTGGTGGTGAGCCTGGGCCTCGGTCTGGGTGGGGCTGGGAGGCAGGTGGGGACGCGCCAGGGGTCTGGGCGGGAAGAGGAGGGGGACTGAGTCGGGGAGGGTCTGGCTCTAAGGGGGTTCCCTCTCCTCTCATCCTTTTCTCGACAGTTCTCTCCTGCCAGCGCCATGGAGCCCTTGGACCAGCAGGTACTGGGGAGGGAGAGGCATGGGGAGGGAGAAGCATGAGGAGGGAGGAGGGCCCCCAGGGGCCTCACCTGTGGCTTGCGCAGGGTGGGGGAACCTGTGGGAAGGGTCACGCTCCATCTGCTTCCTCCCTTCTTTAGCTAATGGGCGGGCAGACCCAGGAGAAGCTGCACCCGCTTAGCCTCCTCAAGTTGGGCAACCAGGTACAACCAGGTGGGGCTGGGGGAAGAGTAGGTGGGGTCCGAGGGAGGAGGGTCAGTCAGCAGGGGCCAGGGAACCGGGGGGCGGGGCCCCGAGGCTGAGGCCAGAAGACAGAGGGTGGGAGGGACCAGAGGAAAGGACCAGGTCCCTCTAATGCCATTGTCCGTGTGACTGTCCCTCTCTCGTCAGGACTGGGACGAGGCCCTGCTGTTCCCAGGCACAGGGGACTCTGAAAGGGATCTTCAACACAGAGCTGACTCCTTGACCCTCTTGACCCCTGATCTGTCCCTGTAGGAGGCCCGTGGCCATACTGTCCTGAAGAAGTCCCCAAGAGACTGCAAGGGGGCCCCAACCCCGGAGCAGACCCGCAGGTTGGCCCAGGCTATGATGGCCTTCACCACAGACCTGTTCTCCCTGGTGGCCCAAAGGTCCACCAGCCCCAACCTCATCCTGTCGCCTCTGAGCGTGGCCCTGGCACTGTCTCACCTGGCACTAGGTAGCGTGGCATCACCTGTCCAGACCAGCAGAGCTGGGAGGCCAGCAGGAACTCACTACTGCAGAGTTTACTAGTGGGTGCTTCCTCCCTCGGGGTCGCTTGGCTGTTTGGTAAAAAGGCAGATTCCTGGGCATACCTCCAGTCTCTGTGAATCAGATTCCCAGGGATGGGGCCTAAGGATATACTTCTGGTGATTTTTATGCAAGACTTTGATTGCTGCAATGTCTTCACTGGATGGAGGCTCTCATTGCGGGAAACCGAGGTCCAGAGAGGGAAAACAACTTGGATGGGGTGAGGTCACCCAGACGGCCAGCAGCAGAGATGAAAGTGAAACTTGGGGAGTACCATCAGTCAGACCAGTTCAGTCGATACGGGAGGAGAATGTGTGGTGTCGGGGGCACGTGCACCACGGGCATTCAGCAGGGACTGGAGTGGGCGGCAGGGCCGGGAAAGAGCCGCCGGCCTGGGCCACAGCCCATGTGGTCCCCTCCAGGTGCTCAGAACCAGACGCTGCGGAGGTTAGAGCAGGTGCTGCATGCAGACTCAGGGCTCTGCCTCCCCCACCTGCTGAGCCGCCTTTGCCGGGACCTGGGCCCTGGGGCATTCCGATTGGCTGCCAGAATGTACCTGCAGAAAGGTAGGTGCTGGTGGCCTGGAGCTCACAAGGTAGTGCCCTGGGGTGGACAGGGGTGATGGAGATGGGCTTGGCCTCAGGTAGCCAGTCAGAGCATTGGTGGCTCTGGAGCTCAAGCCCCTAGGAACAGCCTGTGGCCCCTTCTGTGTAGGATTTCCCATCAAAGAAGACTTCCTGGAACAATCAGAACAGCTCTTTGGTGCAAAGCCCATGAGCCTGACGGGAAGGAAAGGAGATGATCTGCTGAACATCAACCAGTGGGTGAAGGAGGCTACAGAAGGGAAGATTGAGGATTTCCTCTCCGAGCTGCCAGATGACACAGTGTTGCTTCTGCTCAATGCCATCCACTTCCAGGGTGTGTTCCTCCTCTCCTCAGGTCCCCCACCCCAGTAGCCCCTACTCCTGCCCTGTAGGCTGAGCTGAGCTGTGAAACCTTTGTCCTGAGGGTCTCTCTCTCCCCTCAGGGCTGGGCCAGGAGGCAGGGAGCTCTTTGGGTTGTGGCTTGGGGGAGGGTAGGAAACAGGTAACAGTGTGCCAAGGAGGGGCCCCAGGAACTGGATGAGGCTGTTGTGAAGAGAGAACCCCAGGAGGAAACTGAGTCCTGGGAGCATGGCAGGCCTCGGGAAGAACGCAAGCCCAGATTTCAAAAATGCTGCAGGGAAGAAACCTCAGATCAACTGAGTATCACCTGGCACAGTGCCCCTTGGGGTTTCGACTTCTACCTTCCGTCCCTGGAATGGGTTCTGGGTGGGATGGAGAAGAGACTGGTACAGAACCTCCCCCTATCTGGGTCTACGTGGCCCCTGCCTTCTGCTGGATATAGGTTTCTGGAGGAGCAAGTTTGATCCAAGCCTCACCCAGCAAGACAGTTTCCACCTGAATGAGCAGTTCACAGTACCAGTGGACATGATGCACGCCCGTACATACCCCCTGCGCTGGTTCCTGCTGGAGCAGCCTGAGATACAGGTCACCCTTGATTGCCCAGCCTGGGCCTGGCCACTGGGAGGTGGAGCAGGGAGGGGGCAGGCTGTGGGACAGGCACAGGGGTGGAGGGAGGTGTGCCCTGCCTTCCTTGCAGTCACATCTCTGAGACAGGTGGCTCTGGAAGGTCTCGCTATGCCCCGACCCAGGGGGACTGAGGTTCCAGGCTCTTGGAAGTTCATGAATTTGACAAAACTATACTGGGCATTTGCTGTGTGCCAGATACCGTCCTAGGCACTAGAACACACTAGCACAAGGGAGACCAGGTCCCTGCTCTCGGCAGGAAAGACAATACACGAACAAACCTAAATCACAAGATCATTTCGGATAGTGTAAGTGCTATGAAGGTAAAAAAGAAAGTGATCAGTTAGTGACTGGGGAAGGTATTTTAGATAGAGTTGTCAGGGAGCATTCTTTGAGGATGCTACCTAGGAGGGTGTCTGGCATTCTGGCCGAGGAACACCTCCAACCCACAGATCCCGGCTTAACTCTTATTTAACCTGCAAGTATCAGCTTCAAGGTCACTTCCTCCAGGAAGCCTTTCCCAATCCCATGCCCATGGGAGGTAGTGTTAACTGCACTTCACGGGTGAGGAAGTGGAGGCTCAGGGAGGCCAAACACACACCTGAGAAGAATGGACCGGCACCCCTGGTCCATCTGTCTCAGAAGCGTATGCTCGCCCAGACCCCCACTGGTCTGGACGCTTTCTGGTCCTCATGTTGTCTCCTCTCCTCCTCTGTAGGTGGCTCATTTCCCCTTCAATAACAACATGAGCTTTGTGGTCATTATGCCCACCCACTTTGAGTGGAATGTGTCCCGGGTGCTGGCCAACCTGAGCTGGGACATCCTGCACCAGCCCTCGCTTCGAGAGAAACCCACCAAGGTCCGGCTGCCCAGGCTGCATCTCAACTACCAGCTGGACCTGGTGGCCACCCTCAGCCGGCTGGGTAAGGGGGCCGGCCATGGGACAGCCCCCTAGGTCAGGCTAGGCAGAGTGCGTGAGGCGGGGACACCCCCGCCCCCGGCAGTGGGTCCGAGTCAGAGCAGCAGCCTTGTGTCCTGGCCTTTTCAGGGGCTTTGGGAGGTAAGAGGGCTTCCTAGGACCCCCCTGGGCCCTCTGTCCTGGGGTGGGCTGGGGTGGCCCAGGGAATGAGGACCTGCTCCATCCAAGACTGAGCATTGCAAACACTCTCAGGCGGGGAACCTGGGTGGCATGTGGGCCTTGCTGGCTGTCCCGCCAGGGGCACTGAGCTAGACCCTGGGCACCCACTGCCTACGAAGACTCAGTCAAATGGAGCTGGGCAGATAAGGAATCAGGTATTTACAATTCAGCGTAAGTGATAAGACAGAGGGCTTTTCTCCAGTTCACCAAAGAAAAGGCACCTGCCCGGACTTTGGGGCAGGGGACCGGGAAAGGCTTCCTGGAGGAAGTGACCTTGAAGCTGATACTTGGAGGTTAAATAAGAGTTAAGCTGGGATCTGTGGGTTGGAGGTGTTCCTTGGCTAGAATACCAGACACCCTCCCAGGCAGGTCCGGGCAGCCTGTGGGGCAGAAGGCAGCTCTGACCCGCCATCTCCTGCCCTGGGCAGGCCTGCAGGAACTGTTCCAGGCCCCAGACCTGCGTGGGATCTCTGACCAGAGTCTGGTGGTCTCCAGCGTGCAGCATCAGTCCACGCTGGAGCTCAGCGAGGCCGGTGTGGAGGCAGCCGCGGCTACTGGCACGGCCATGTCCCGCATGTCTCTCTCCTCCTTCAGCGTGAACCGCCCCTTTCTCTTCTTCATCCTCGAGGACACAACAAGACTGCCCCTCTTCGTGGGCAGCGTGAGGAACCCCAACCCTAGTGCGCAGTGGGAGCGCAAGGAGCAGCAGGATTCCCCGTATGACAGGAACTACTTCCAGAACCAGAAAGCCTTCCCCCGTGGAGACAAGCCCTTCGGCCCTGACTTGAAACTCGCGCCCCCCTCAGAGGAGGATTACCCCCAACTTCATAGCCCCAAGTGAGAGGCCAGCGGCCAGCATCCCAAGTCCCTGCCTGCAACAACCTCTCCACTCCTGGGACTCTTTCCAGACGGCTTTGTGGGATTAGGGCCGGGGCCTTGGTGGGCAGCCTGGGAGCGAGAGGGAGCCATCCTCTCCGGTCCCCTCTCCGGGGGAGCTTGGGGTGGGTGGGGCCGGGACGAGGGCAGGCCTCAGGGAACCATGGGCCTTGATCCCACATGGTTTCTTGCAAAGAGCCCGTCCTTATTTGGGGCTTGGGCAGAGGGGCAGCTGTCGATCCACTTTTGTCAGGAAGGTGGGTAGGTTGTTCCCGAAGCCGGCTGGGGCACTTCCACATTTGTTTACCAGAGAGTGGGAGACAGGAGGGATTGGATACCTTGGCTGGGGCAAGGAGCCTTGTCCGGCACTGTGGGTGGGGGCCTCGCCTTGCACCTCACGGCTTCTGCCACCACCTGCCCCAGGCCCTCCAGCCTCCACCCGCCCTGATGCTCTGCCACCCAGCCTCCCCACAGATACCAACATTGCCAGGACTCTCCCTCCCTCCTCTTCTTCCTGGGCCAGGTGTCCCAGGGCCTGCGGGTGGGAGGGAGGGCGGGCAATAGTCCCCTCAGGCTCTTTTGTAAAGTTTTTGTAGTGATTTTTACGCACCCGAATAAAGAATGAATGGCCCTGGCTGCTTTGATGTCACTATTCTGGGGGCAGTGGGGGCAGCCCTCCCCGCCCCCCACCCCGGAAGGCGGGAGGACGCCACAGGCTGCCCGGAGCACCGCGCTGGGCCCCGGCAGGCAGCCCGTCTCTGCCACGTCTGTTGTCGGCCGCTCGCCAGCCCGTCTGGGCGCAGTCCCCTCTGACCTCGCCACCCGCTCCACGGCCCCCTCCACGCCAGCCTGGCTCTGCTCTCAGCCGGCTCCCTTCTCGAAGCCGCAAGCAGCCAGCAACAAGGGTGGCTCAGAATAGCGCTGGCCTCCGGGGTTGGGAGCAAACTGGCAATTAGGGAGCTTGGGGAGTTTCTAATTACATGCCGGTCCTTCTGCCAGGGGCCGGCGCCCGCCAGCCCAGGGGCGGCGGGGGGGTGGGGGGTCAGGCTGCCTGGAGCAGCGGCAGGATTTGGGCGCAGCTTGGCCCCGGGGTGGGGGCCGCACGGGGGTCCACGTGGGTGGGCCTGTGTCTGTGCGTGCAGAGTGTCCGTGTGAAGGGCAGTGGTCAAGAGCAAGGGCCCGGGGTGGACTCTTGCTTCTTACAGACCAGCGGTGTGGGGAGACGGTAATACATAGAAGTTGTGAAATCGGCGGTGAGGCCGAGGGTGGGAAGCGCTGTGGTGAGAAATAGAGCAGGAAGGGCCTCCCTCAGAAGGTGGGGTGGGAGCAGAGGCCTGAAGCAGGTGAGGGCAGGCACCGGGGACCAGCTCGGGGAAGAGCTTCCGGGGCAGCGGAGGAGCAAGGGCCGAGGTCCTGGAGGGAGCATGCGCGGAAGGTTCAGGATGAGCAGGAGCTCCGGGGGGCTGGTGTGGAGGGGTGGGAAGGAGTCAGAGGGGGGGCGTTTGGGGCTTTAGGGCCCCTGTAAAGTCTGTTGCTTTTATCTTAGGAGTAAGAGGTAATTGGAAAGTTAAATCAGCAAGCCACCAACTTAATTTTACCTGCAAAATCTTTCTCGGCTTTCTCCTCCTCTCCATTCTGGCTCGAAGCCATGGATCTGGTCATCATGCCCAAGGGTCACTGCCCTTGCCTCCTAGGTCCTCCCTGCTCCTGGTCTGGCTATCTTCCCTCCATTCCCCTGCAAGTGCTTATCAGAGCCCGTGTGTGTCAGCCGTGCATCAGGCTCTGGGGATGCAGTGAGCAAGCCCACAAGATCTGTCCCCCTCCCCCCAGAGCCTAAATCCAGCCGTAGAGTGGTCTAGACAAGAAACAAGGTAACATTTTCTGTTGAAATATGGTCCGGAAAGTACACAAGTCAGAACTGTACATGAGCTTAATGAATTTTCTCATGAATCAAATACCCCTGTGCAACCAGCACCCACATCAGGAAACAGTACTCACTCTTTTTTTTTTTTTTTTTTAAAGATTTTGTTTATTTGACAGAGAGAGCACATGAGCCAGGGGGGAGAGGGAGAAGCAGACTCCCCGCGGAGCAGGGAGCCCAACTCGGGGCTCGATCCCAGGACCCTGGGATCATGACCTGAGCCAAAGGCAGACGCTTAACGGACTGAGCCACCCAGATGCGTCACTTCCCTGATTTCTTCTTCTTCTTCTTCTTTTTTTAAAGATTTTATTTATTTTTTCATGAGAGACAGAGAGAGAGAGGCAGAGGCAGAGGGAGAAGCAGACTCCCCATTGAGCAGGGAGCCCGATGTGGGACTCTATCCCAGGACCCTGGGATCATGACCTGAGCCGAAGGCAGACGCTTAACCAACTGAGCTACCCAGGCGTCCCTGTCACTCCCCTGACTTCTAATAACAGATTACTCTTTCCTGGTTCTGAGCTCCATGTAAAGGAATCATACAGTCTGCTCTCTTGGGTCTGGCTTCTTTCATTCAACCTCACGTTTGTGACATTCATTTGGGTTGTGGATGGCAGTAATCCATTCACTGAGGAAAGCTTTTAATTGAGGGGTGCCACGGTCTGATGTAAGCCCTAGAAGGCTCACTTGGCTGCTGTGTGGAGAACAGAATGTAGAGGGACAAGCGTGGGTTAGCAGGCAAGAGACAGGTGGCCTGGCCCAGGTGTCGGCTGTGGAAATGGAGGAAAGGGGTCAGCGTGCAGAAATATTTTGCCGGGAGTGCTATAGAATTCGTGCATAAATTGTACGGACATGAGGGAAAGGCAAGGCTCAAGGATCGCGGGGTATATGGTTCAGATTCCTGGGTTTTTTTCTTTTTTTTTAAAGATTGTTTTATTTATTTGACAGAGAGAGACACAGCGAGAGAGGGAATACAAGCAGGGGGAGTGGGAGAGGGAGAAGCTGGCTTCCCGCTGAGCAGGGAGCCCGATGCGGGGCTCGATCCCAGGACGCTGGGGTCATGACCTGAGCCGAAGGCAGCCGCTTAACCGACTAAGCCACCCAGGCGCCCCTGGTGGAGATAACCTGAGAGGAGAGGAGATACACAGATGGAGAGGAAAAGGGGTCCCGGATCAAGTGAGCAAAGGAGACAGAAAAGACGCGGCATGTGAGGTTGGGGGGGGTGGCCGGAATGGAAGTGTGTGGAGCGGCAGAGTTTCAAGAAGGAGGAACAGTCTGCTCTCCTGCCTGCTGTCCAGGGAAGAGATGTCCTATCGGTGGTCAACATGAGGGTCACCTATGAACCTGGCGACAGCTGTTTCAGTGGAGAGATGGGCACAGAAGCGAGATTGGGGTTGAGGAGGGAATGGCGCTAAGACTACAGACACAAGAATAAATAGCTCTTTCCCTCGTGGCCATGAGGGAGAGCAGAGAAATGGACAGTAGGCTTAGGGGGTGTGGCACAGAGGAAGTGTCACCAAACAGGGGAGTGACAGGGGATGTTTGAAGGCTGTGGGATGGCCCTCAGAGATGGATACGTGGATTAGGCAGGAGAGGGGCCGCCTGCAGGAGCAGAGCCCATGGAGAACACAGTGGAGGCCCCTCCTTTGGTAGCAGCGGGACACCTTTCACAGCAATCAGAGGAGGAGAGATGAATCTTTCTTTGTAAGTTACCATGAAATAATTGGAGCACACAAAAAGGTATAATGAATTGCATAAGGTCATTGCTCAGCGGACAGATCTGTGTTGATAAAAGTGGCTTCCCTTCACGATTTCTCAGGGCTGTAAGACTTCTCCACCTCTATCCACTCAGCTACATGCAAGGAGCTTCCACTTTTTTTTTTTTTGCCACTACAAACAGCGCTGCGATAACATTTTTTTTTAAGATTTATTTATTTATTTATTTGAAAGAGAGAGAATGAGAGAGAGAGAGAGCACATGAGAGGGGGGAGGGTCAGAGGGAGAAGCAGGCAGGGAGCCTGATGCGGGACTCGATCCAGGGACTCCAGGATCATGACCTGAGCCGAAGGCAGTCGCTTAACCAACTGAGCCACCCAGGCGCCCCTGCAATAACATTCTTGTACATGCATGCTTTGTGCACGTATGTGGAGTTTTTCCAGCACACATGCTTAGGAGTGGAAGTGCTGAGTTGTGGGTTCGGGTTTACCCATCTTTAATTGTAAGGGCTGCCATATATGGTTATGCACAGCTTTGCCATTTGGAGCCAGATTCTTCCTCAAAGTGGTTGTGTCAATTTACATTCCCACATTCTCACCAGCAGGGCAGAAGAGATCCTGGTTGTCCACATCCTCACCAACACTTGGTCTTGTCAGATGTTTAAAATTTGGCCATCTGATGAGCGTGAAATACGCTTGTCAAATTATGGTTTTGATTTGCATTCCTCTGATTACTGGTGAGGATGAAACATCTTTTTCAGAAGTTTATTGGCCACTTAGGATTCTTCTCCTGTGAATTACCTGGGTCTGTGTTTCTGCTGAGTTTTTATTTTTTGTATTAATTTATAGTTCTTTCTATATTACCATTCATAATCTTTTTTGACAGTTACCTGTGTAACAAATATTTTCTCCCAATGTGAGGCTTTTGTTCTCACTTTATTTTATGGTATCTCTTCCTGAAAATAAGTTTTTAACTTTAGTGTCAAATTTATCAATCCTTTGGGTGGCTCAGTCAGTTGAGCATCGGCCTTTGGCTCAGGTCATGATCTTGGAGTTCCGGGATCTAGCCCTGGATCGGGCTCCCTGCTCAGCGGGGAGTCTGCTTCTCCCTCTCCCTGCTCTTGTGCTCTCTCTCTCTTGCTCTCTCTCTTTCTCCCTCTCAAATAAATAAATAAATAAATTCTTTTAAAAAATTTATCAATCTTTTATAATCTCTGCTTCTTTTGGTGTCTTGTCTAAAAAAATCTTTTTGTAAAGTAGGCTCCATCCCCATTGCGGAGCCCAGTGTGGGGCTTGACCTGGGGGTTGAAGTGGGGCTGACGTGGGGCTTGAACGTATGACCCTGAGATCAAGATCTGAGCTGAGATCAAGAGTTGGAAGCTCAACTGACTGAGCCACCGAGGCAACCCCCCCCAAAAAAAATCCTTTCTACCTAGAGATCACAAAGGGATCCATCTATATTTTTTTCTAA